CGTTATTTTAAGTACTGAGAGGCATAAACGACTAATATTACGTTTTTCTTTAAAACAGAGAATACTTTATTTCGCGAGAAAATCGCTGCTTTACCAAAACACAACATTTAAAGTAGTAAATTGTTGATAAATGGAAGTCTTTTTGTTAAAGCAGAGAATACTTACATGGGTTAGATGACGCGCTTTAAACAGTTGAATGCTTTTAAAGCGCGTCATCTAACTCATGTGGCATCTCGCATATTAACTTTCCACGCATGAAAAGTTCACGCATACACTTTCCACGCGAACCAAGGTTCACGCACACCCCCCCCTGTTTTCGGGGGAGGTGCGGTAGCCCCGAAATAGTTCACGCATACACTTTTCACACGAACCGAGGTTCACGCACACCCCCCCCTGCTTTTGGGCCGGCCCGACAACATATGTCAAGGTCAAGGTCATCGGAGATCAGGCCCTAATTGTAAACATTTACCGAAATTATTAGTCTTCTTCATAATATATACTATTTCTATCAACATATACATACTATACAAAAAGTATTCTTCATTTTTAAAGCTTAGGATTACAAGTGACTTATAGGTACAGATAAGATACAAAGCGTTGATTAAACACAAGTACCAATGAGAATGTATCCTATTTTAACATAAATCTGTGAATGCTGTTTCAAGATTACGTCTGTTTGCAATATTGCTTATTAAGTTTAACAATAAAAATTCGGCCAACTTGCATAAACGTCATATATCCACAATATTTCTGTGTTTCTTGCGATGGAAAGCGTATTCTTCTCGTTATTTTTCTTCTCATGTCATTTAGTATCTAAACTGTTGTATTTGTCATTTGTATGTCATTTATAATGGCTTTTATTGAAGATTGATAATTCTAATATATCTGATGAATTCTTGTATTGATTCTTGTCATACTTACTGAGCAATAGTGCAAATAATTTCGGAGCAGTTTTCATACATAATTATAGCATATGACTTACTTGAAACAAGTTGAGGCTTAAGCAAGCCACACAACACACTATTAAACAAAAAAACATTATCTCCAATACTGACATTAAGTGCTTGTTCAATCTTTAAAAACAAAAGAAAATATTATTGTAATTATTGCGTGAATATTGTTATTATTGTAAATACAAACTTTATAGCTTGCCGGTGAATGTCGACGGCACAAATTGTGCCCTCGGTCATCAAAATCTCATTCTCCAGCGTAATATTTTGTCCAGTTTTGATATTTATTGCATGCTCGATACGATAACTGTAAATGTTTGTGCCGTAATTCATCAATTGACGCAATTTTTCAGTTAAAAGCATCTCTACACAAACGTTTTTTAATAATGTTGTTTAGAGGTAAACTTCTAGTTACATTTCATATTATTAAGCTCATTTCTGTGTTCGTACCTAGCAATTCTAAACATTCCACAGGTATGCTGAATACACGCAATGAACATTGTACCTATTCCTAACATTATAACCATCCCAAAGCAAACAGCTGCATTAATGTGCAACAAAATCAAATAAAAATATTTTTCTTGATCGATGAAGTACTCCATCTTAAAGAGAAAATAGTATGATCGAGATACGTTCGTCGGTGAATCAACATCAGCCATATTTGTCCAAAATTGAAATATAATACTAAGAGATATGGTACAAGCTGCAAGGGCTAAAAACATTAGAAAGAAATTATTATTTAAATTACTTGTATATAATGTTATGAAATTATTTTATATTTACCGCTCGTACCTTATAATACATTTTTTAAGTCGAATGAAATCAAATTCTGCGATACTGATACTAACTAATTTTCGGCAAAACTTCCGAAAACACCCATGTTACGATTTAAGTCAAAGTTTGTAAACAGGTTCCTTTTTGATACAAGAGACATATACCAAAAGGATTTTTTGCGACTCAAAAGTTAAGCAACTTTTTCAACGATTCATATTTCTTTTTTATGTTTTATGTCTTTCATATTTCTTTTTCTCCTAAAATGGTCTTCCATGCCATTTTAGTAGGAATTAATTGTATTTCTCTAAGCCATTCGATTGTTTGGCGATTACTTAATTTTTCCAGCAAGAGAAAATATTAAGTCCAATATTTTAGTCAGTTAAAACTGAAAAACATATTTGTACACAGCACTCGCCATCAGCCAAGTAACTCAATGTCAGTATATTCCAGTATACGAACTAAAGCAGTTCGCAAGGTTGGTCTAAACAACACATATAATTGGTAGCCAAAGTCATAGCCATAACTATATACGTCAGGATAAATATCATTGCAGCATTGCACGTTAATATACCGGGTGGGAAAAAAGTCCGAAACCGGTGAAATATCTCGAAAACAAGACATTTTAGGAAAAAACGTTTTATACAAAAGTTGTTTGGCTCGAAGGGGCACATAAGATGGTGCCATTGGTTTTACCTTGGATGGTCGTTTAAAGCTCATGTAAACAACACCTTTAATTTCTTAAATGAAAACTCCTATTTTTCAATGCATATTCTTGTAGCTAATCTTGAGAGCTTTTCAAAACATATTAATAAAGTGTTATTTCATTAAGAACTTTTGGAATTATAAGGCTTGAAAGTTCTAGTATTTTGACATAAAATACAAAATATCTTGTAAAACATTAAGTTTTCGGTAATGTTACCTTAACACTTTTATGCACAGAATAATGAAGCGAATCAATTGGTATAAAAAAAGGCATAGTTGCTTTTAAGAAAAAGTATGCAGATGCGTTTTGCAAATTACATATTTTTTCTTAAAGGAAATATGCAGTTCCGGACTTTTTCCCCACCCGGTATACATAAAATATAAAAAAATGGGTACTTATTCATTATACAGGCACCACTTCTAATGTTCTTCTACTTAAAAGAGTACAACGATTATTTTTAACATAAAATGATTCCACATGTGAAACCACATTTTACGGTTCGCATGAAAAGTTGGAAACTCATGTGGAACCGTATAATAACAGACCTCATTTCGCACCAGGTGGTGTGGGATGAACCTCGCTTTACGTGCAAAGTCGAAAACCCATATGGAGTCTTATAATAATAGACCTTGTACCGCACTTCAAACACCGGCTAGTAAGGTAAACCTCTCGCATCACATGGAAATCCATATGGAACCATTTTAATGTAATAATATGTTCCGTTATAAATGAAAAATGGTGTGCAAGACATAAGGAAAAAAAAAATAAAAGACATGAGAAAATATGAAAAAATGTTGAAAAAAGTTGTTTAACTTTTGAGTGACAAAAAGTTCTTTTAGTAAAACTTCTTCATGTAAAAGAAATCTATTTACGAACATTGACCTAAATCGGAGCATGGCCATTTTCGAAAAAAACAGCCGACTTATGTGTGTACGTAAATATATATACCATAACAAAATCACGTAATCCGCAAAAATCGATATCCACAAAATCATATAATCCGCAAAAATCGATTTTTTATTTACTTGATAGTTTACATATTATATTGACGATATCATTATATTAAAAAACAATAAAAGTTGTCTTACTTATAAGTGAAACCGTATAACGTTTCGCAGTGTAGTCGTATTTCTTTATAATAGCGATTTCATTTTTATCCTTTAATTTGTTACGTACGTGCTGAAACTGCATCAATAAATCCTTCACCTGTCATTGCAGCAACTTTTATATATATCAAAGCAAATGTTTTGATGTAAAATTTCGCTACACGGAGAGGGTTATACCGTTTAACGAATACATCGTAAGCAATTGACTTACATTTTCGATGTGAAAACGGAACATGTTATACTTTATCATAAAAATAATAAAGAAAGATACGGAAGACAAAACATTCATGAGGAGTTCCGAAGTACAATTTAATGTCAAAAACGTTGTCAGCTGTTAATAGACAATTTTTATTTAATTTTACTCATACTTATTTGATTAATAATAATTGCAATATATTTAATGCAAATATCATTGCATAACACAAAGTGAGATAATATATATAATAAAAACTTGCCGTTTGATAACTTACATGCATGATTTACAATATTATGATATTTTCTTACCTGAAATACAATAATCGCTGTCAATATAACAGAAATAAAAATATATTGAAATGTAGTGAAGTTCGATTGTTGATAGGGCCATAAACCGATAGTAAGCAGTAGAATTCTATTTACGGTAAAATACTGATCTTCTTTGCGGATCATATCGTCACGAGGTCCGAAACGCGAGTGATTGTAAAAAAGTCCATAACGTGCCTTTATCCCCTCTTTTCTTCATCGATCGACTAGACATTCTCTCTTTCGTGTAAATTGTAGTGCAAATATCGTAAATTATATAATGGGTCATTAGATCATTATATCATTAGATATATACTTATAACTTAAAAAAGCATTTTTTCGTCTATAGTCTATAATAAAGCTATTCACCTGCTATCTGAAAACGTTTATTGTATTATTTTTTTCCATAAAAAAAGGGCTTAAATGAGAAATTGAAAGTCACGCAAGCGCATTCCTTCTTTTCCAATAATTCTACTTCATTCTCACGTACGCATTCGTAAGATACACTTGTGTAGCTCCTCTGCCAAAGGAACAATCGCCGTCAGTAATCCTGTTGATGCCGGATCTACATGGTAAAGCTTATAATTTAAAAATGGTCAGAATAGATACGCAATCTCTTAAACCTTAAACTAATTAATTTTTTTAGCAAATATTGATTATATCAGTTATTTATAGATAATAATGTCGTTCATTAGCAATATTATTGTTTAATGGTAATATGTTTAACGAAAATATTTCAATTGTATCGACTTAACTGGCCACAATTTAGTATAAAATCACAACGTTTCAGCCCTTGGTTTGGGCCCTTTTCAAGTGTAAAGACACAAAAAAAGGTAAAAGTTTACAATAACTTACACAGCTCGGATTACTTTGACCTT